GGAGGCGACGAGTACTCAAAAAAGCGTATAGCAAATGCATTCGAGGAGGAGGGAGGGTTGAAATATTAAGCGTACGTATTTTATGTACGGCTTCTTATGTAGTTTTCTACCTTTAAGACTAAAAGTGAAAACCTGCACTTCAGCATAGAGCTTACTTAATATATATTTAAAACCTATAATATATACATATATATATATATTAATATATATATATATATATATATATATATATATATATATATATATATATATATATATATATATATATATATATATATATATATATATATATATATATATATATACTATTTATTTATTTTGTCATAATAATTTAACAACATAAAATATAACCTATTTCATTAATTTGATTCTTGTTTCATTTAAATCTAATATGTTGTTTTTATTTGTTTCTTATAATTTTATTTAATGAAAGTTTTAACTTGCATAATATTTATAATTAAAATTATTACTTTCTTTTTTTTTCTATTTTTCCATTTAGATTAAAATTGAAATACTTTCTATATTAGGCATCCTATACTTTTTAATTGTTTAAAATTTAAGTAATATTTAAAATGAGACTATACTATTTTCAGAGGCAGGTAACATTTTTGATGAAAAAAGAGCTAGTTTGTTGCCCAAAAGAGGATGACAAATCTATTTGCCCTACAATAATCCTAAAACTTCTAAAAATCCTCACATAATTGATTATTGCAAATAAAATTACATTGTGTTTGTTAAGAATTTTGTATTTTTTACCTAGGTTTACCTTTTGCGTTTCATTGCCCTGTAGGACAATGATTTTTTGATTTAAATTATTCCGGCCGGAACCGGAATGATCTAGAAATTCAGAATTGCAGGCGAAATTACGGACGGAATGGAATTCCGGTACATTCCAGTGAGCAAACCTAGGTTTGGCTTTTTTTGTAAAATCAAGACCGGAATTATTAAAATTTATTTAAACCGTTTATACTTATTTTCTTACAATAAGTTGCGATAGATAATAAAATATATTGCGATAAATAATAAATAATTTAATAGGTTTATTATATTAAATAATTCTTTATAATACAATATACCAAAATTTGTTATAACTTATATACTATTAAAAATGAATTCGGTATTCAAGGGCTTATTATATTCGAGTAAGGATTTTATGAAAAACCAGAAACCTGGTTTAGCTCATTGGAAAAAAGTTTCAACCTGATTATATAGGGTTATTAAAAGTACAACTTTTAATACTAATTTTATTATTAACTTACAGTTTACATAAGTTATATACAGTAAAAGTTTACATAAGTTTATAAGTTTACATAAATCAAAAGTTACAAATAATAACAAAAAACATTTTTTAAACAATTTATTTAGTTAAATTTATAATTTGAACTTCTTTTTGATGAATAAAAATCGTTAAAGATGAAAAAATTGTTACCTTATTTTTTATTAAAACTGATAAAATATGTACTATCTTTTTATTCGAGTAGACCTTAAATCCCTACAAGATTTTGTTTTAAAGTTAATATTACTAATTCCCGTTAACAGCCTTTAAAAAAATTGTGGAAAAAAATGTGATCTATAAAGTAAAGTACAAAATTAGTACAAAAAAAAGTTTAGTGGTATTTTATATATTTTATTTTTGATTAATGCCTTTAATTACTTTGTACTATTATAACTTATTTGGTAGAGAATTATACAAAATCTCTAAGTTATGAGAAGATATTGAATAATGACATGTTAAATTGAATAACAAATAATTTTTTCTGAAAAAAAAAGTTTGATAGTACAACATTAAAATGATTTTAAGTTAAATTGTTAAGAAATATTGCATATTCACTCAGCTGCGTAAGTGTTAAACTAAAATTTTATCGTGCATTAGATGGAGGCGGTGAGGCTAGGGCTGTTGCTCTCGACATATCTAAAGCTTTCGACAAAGTTTGGCATGCTGGTCTTCTCCATAAGCTTGCTTCATATGGTGTTTCTGGGAAAGTTTTTGAGATTATCAAATCATTTCTTTCTAACCGGTTTATTAAAGTCATCCTTGAAGGCCAACACTCTTCTTTATTTCCAGTAACTTCTGGGGTTCCCCAAGGTTCCATCCTGGGCCCTGTTTTGTTTCTTATCTACATAAACGATCTTCCTGACAACCTTTCATCTAAAGTAGCTCTTTTTGCTGATGACTCAACTTTATACTCCTGTCTTGACAAAAAGTCTCCTCTTTTCGATCGCCTAGAACAAGCAGCTGATCTTGAATCCGATCTCACTTCAGTAATAGATTGGGGTTCACAGTGGCTTGTGAATTTCAACTCTAAAAGAACCCAGTTGCTTACTGCAAACAACTACCGTAATATGGTCAACATTCCTATATTAATGAATGGCAATCCTCTTACTGAGTCGTCCTCTTTACGTCTTCTTGGATTATCGCTTACTACTGACCTTTCATGGAAACCATATATACAATCGATTGCTAAATTAGCTTCTGCTAAGGTTGCTTCTCTTTATCGTGCTCGCCATTTCCTTACTTCTGATTCCATTCTCTACCTACAAATCTCTTATTCGTCCCTGTATGGAATACTGTTGTCATATTTGGGCTGGTTCTTCTAATGATTCACTTTCTCTTCTTGACAAGGTCCAAAAACGCATTGTAAATGTTGTTGGACCTGGACTATCTGCTAAGCTTGAACCTCTTTTCCATCGTCGTAAAGTTGCATCTCTTTCTCTTTTCTACAAATACTATCATGGTCACTGCTCAAAGGAGTTATCACCTCTAGTTCCATTAACTAAAATTCATTCTTGTTTTACTCGCCATTCAGCTAAGTCTCATTCGTTTACTGTATCTGTCCCTGCATGCTCTAAAAACTTTTATTCATCTAGTTTTTTTTCCCCGCACTTCAATCTTTTGGAACTCTCTCCCATCTTCATGTTTTCCTGACTCATACAACCTTCAACTTTTCAAGTCTTCTGTCAACCGTTTCCTTGCTCTATAACTCTTCTTTTTTTTCCTAGTAACTCCCAACTTAATAGTGGTTGCTTGCAGCCTTGTTGGGAGTGAATGCAAATTAAAAAAAAAAAAAAAATGTTCAGTCAGGCATTTTAATTCCACTCCATATTTACTATATACTTTTATATCAATACCCATGAATGAGGCACATGCAATAATTTCTGCATCAGTTACCCATGTTCTATTATCACTCTACCGCTTTCATGAAGATATGTTATGATCGATTGGTTCAAATATAAAGTCATTTTATCATTAATTTGTGTGCACACATGTCTTACAACTTTTTCTCTTATAGTTTCATAACAGCTTTCACTGCCTATAATAATATAAGAAATGGCTCTAAAAAGGCAATTATCATCACCTATGGTTCTGTAGAGTTGTTTAGGACACGGAAGTAGGTTAATATCTGATGTAAATATATTTCTGATCACATAAATTTCAAAGTTTTTAGGAATAGAAATTCTAATTTCAATAGTTGCATATTTTACAGTCTTATCATAAGTAACTTCCATATTCACTTCATCAAATATAATTTCTTGTTCATCACTTGATCACTTGTTATTTTTTCCTTATATAAAGAAAATGTTGACAAGTTGTACTTTGTTTTTAAAATTGGACCCTTTAGTTTTTGAGGTTACAGTTGTTTGTGCTTGAAATTGAAGTTACAATATATGGTCCAGTCCAAGGTTTTACAAATTTTCTGCCTTTTCTATCTTTATTATCATGCCTACTATTTCTAAGCAATACTTTTTGATTTATGCTAATTTCAGAGTTTGAAGCAATTCTCCTGTCATAATCTCATTTTTGCCTTTTTTTGAGATTTTACTATGTTTAGTTAAGATTCATCAAAAGGTTCATTCATCATTTTATTCATCACATGTTTCTGAAACTATTTTTTTGTCGTAAGAATCATCATTGCTAAGTGCATCATTATCATTAAATTGCAATCTAAATCAATGGGAACTGCTTCCTTTTGGTAAAGCAATGAAAATAGTGAAAGCCTAGTAGACTTGTGTTTTATAACTCTCAAGTAAACAAAACATTGTTAGATTCTGTCGCTCAACTAAACCATAAGCTTGAAGATGATATGCACTCGTAATTTTTTGCATTTCATTTTCTTTAGAAATTTCATTTACAAACTCATGACCCTCATCATTTATTTGTATTTTAAAACAACCATGTCGACATATCTACTTATACAAAAACAAGGCCACTGATCTAGCAGTTTTATCAGTAAGTGCTTTTGCTTTAACCCATTTACTGAAGTAGTCTACTAATACAAGCAGATATTTGTAACCATAAACTTCTGATTGTTGTGTTATACCATTTCTTCTTGTTTCATATTACCTTTTGAAATTATAATATTTTGCAGCAATGGTTTTGTATGAAGTTTCCTATTTTTGACATTTGTCACATTGAGAAATATAGGTTATGATATCATTGCATACCAAAAAAATCGACTTTAAGTGTGATGGGTAGTGTTGTTAATACCTGTATGACCAGATAAAGTTTTAGAATCAACGAAGACATCATTTCCTTCATGAAACAACTTTATTATGTTTTTGTTTATCTCTGCTCCAAATAACTTTTCTCTAAAAAAAAAAAAGAAGCCATAAACTATAAATAGTATAAGAATCGAAGCTAAAAAGTATTAAACAATAATAGTTTAACCAGATAAAAAGATTTTAATAATTTTTAATTACTTAAAACATTCAGTAACTTGTGTTTATCTTGTTGTAACAGGATAAAAATGTCAAAAATCGGTTTTAACATTAATGAAACAAAAATAGACTTTAGCAGTTTCGTTTACATGATAATATCATGTAATTTATAACATTTACATGACATTTATAATTCATAATGAATTATATCATTGATATAATTCATTTGAGAAATCCGCTTACATTTAACGCCATTAACAAAATTTTATTTTTGTACCAAAAAAAAAAAAATTTTTTTTATATATTTTGATGACATTATTTTTTGGTAATATTTATACCCGTATACCAGCGAATAGTCAATGGTTTTGGTTGTGCTCGAGAGTGCGTTTTGGTATGAGGAAAAAACTGCAAATAAGCAGAAAGTCTTTGAAAAGTTTTGTGATCATTCCATAAGATTAGTGGTTTAAGCTGTGAAAATATTGGCTCTCTTTTAGGTTTGTATAGTTTTTGACATTCTTATACTTAATGATTTTGATTGTACGATATAAATTTTTCTCTTTAATTATTATTTTTATGAAAATTTTTAAGGCTTAAAAATATTTAAAATAATGACATTTTGTAGATTTAAATTTTTATTTGTATTATATTGAGCATTATTATCTTTTACTTATAAAATGTTACAACCAGAGGCGATTTTATGTGTATGTGTGAGGGAAACCTCCTCCTGAAGAAGTTGGTTTTTAAGTTATAATCGGTTTTTATTCGAATTTAGTCGGTTAGTCGGGTTTTGACATTCGCTTTGACACCATTTTCGTTTTGAGGACCTTTTTTTTTTTAACATGCCAGTACTTTTTGAGGATTCACTCCCCCCCTCATTTTATTCGTAGCATCGCCTCTGGTTACGACGTACGATGAAATACTTTTTCTCTTTTCTTAGTAATTAATTTTTAAAATTTTTTGACTCATTGCGCATATTTTTTCTTTAACGCGTCAATTTAACTGTCTTAAAATCTTGCGTATTTACAACGTTACTAATATTTAATTATATGCAATTAATTTATATGTTTTTATATAATTAAACGTGGTATGAGACTTCCGAACAAAACAAATAACATAAATCCTTTTGTTAAAATATTTTAAATTAAATGCAGATAAATTAGCTGATACTTGAAACGGTTTGTAGGGTCTTATAAAATTAGCAATTTATTAATTTTGAGAAAAAGTAAATTAAAAAAAAAGAGAGAAAATAACAAGATATGTTTCAATTTACAATGTTTCAATATCATCGCCAATATTCGGCCGAACGTTTTGTCGGTAATAAAATGAAAAACAATGTTTGACTGGATCGATTTAAGAAAAAATTGGATTTTAAGTAACTTTTTAAAGTTTAATACAAAAAACAACGCTTAGTTATTTTTAAAAGCATATAAAACAACTCAAATTGAAACACAGTTAAGAGAATTGAAAACATCGGGTACGATCGAAATCATCGCTAACAAAACAAATCATTACGTTTATTATATGCATCAATAAATAACATAAGTAATTTCGGTGTAACTACTTTAGTTGAGTTGTAACTTAAATATTGATTTATTAAGTTTATATCAATGAAATTTTAACAAAGTTGTTAAAAAACTTGAAGACAGATTTGGTTTTGAATCTAAAAATATTAGTTGTGTTTAATTTAATATATTGCAGACACATGCTACAGACTTCTACAACTGCTAAAATTTAATTGAAGGATGTAATAGTTAAATTATTTTGTGTTTGATTTTTACACCAACAACTCTATATTTTATTATTACCCTTTTAGTTAATAAATCACTTGTTTTGGTTTTTGAAACATGGAAAATAGTGAATGTGAAAGTAAAGGTATGTTTTTAAGAAGCTTGTAATTTGAAAATTAAACTTTTAACATTTCTACATACAATTGGGTATACAGTGTGTGTATGATTGTTTGCGCTCTTTTGTGTGTGTGTGTGTGTGTATTTATGTGTGTGTGTGTGTATTTATGTGTGTGTGTATGTGTGTGTGTGCGTGCGTGTGTGTATTTGTGTACACACACATGTGGCCACAAATACACACATGCGGTCATCTTTAATGCACACATTAAATGAGGGTTTGGGTGTAGATGAACAATTTTAAGTCAAAATATGTTTCTGTATTACAGATTTACTACATTTTTATATATTAATAACGTTTTTTTCCACCTAAAAAAGTCTGCCAAAAATTTCTTACTGGACCAAATATTTTTTATATATCTTTTAAATATATTTCCTAATTCCCTAATTTATTATTGCTCTGTTCTTTAAAAACATGTATACCAGATTAGGCTATATTATTCAATTATAAACTACAGACAGGAAAAATATATATATATATGTAAATATATATATATATATATATATATATATATATATATATATATATATATATATATATATATGTATATATATATATATATATATATATATATATATATATATATATATATATGTATATATATGTATATATATATATATATATATATATATATATATATATATGTATATATATGTATATATATATATATATATATATATTTGTATGTATCTATGTATGTATGTATGTATGTATGTATGTATGTATGTATGCATGTATGTATGTATGTATGTATGTATGTATGTATGTATGTATGTATGTATGTATGTATGTATGTATGTATGTATGTATGTATGTATGTATGTATGTATGTATGTATGTATGTATTTATGTATGTATGTGTGTATGTATGTATGTATGTATGTATGTATATATATATATATATATATATATATATATATATATATATATATATATATATAT